TCGAGCGAGGGGACCACTTCAATGTGCACCGCTCTAGTGGTGAGACAGGTGAACAAAAAACCCTACCTGTTTTCCGTACTTCTCCGGATTGGAACTAGGAACGGCCCAAAGTAGTCGACACCTGTGTTAGAGAAAGGAGGTTGCTTGTAACCCAGCCTTTCAACGGGCAGATCAGCCATCATATGAGTTACAGTTTTCGGCACACAACGCAAGTATTTTCAATGTTTCGCAGCAACCATCGCAAATTTAACAACGTTTTTCAAATTAACCACCGCATGCATGTAACCAAGCCTTGATTGAAATTCCTAACGTGCAAGTTTTTAACCAATAACCGAACAACCGCGTGACGTGCATCAAGTATAATCGGATGCTTGCTATCGAAATCGGAATTAACCAAGCGGCTGATGCGCCCAGTCGAGCGAAGGATGCCAGCTGGTCCAATGAACGGCGAATACTTGGCGATCCGACTATTCTTCGTGATAACTTTACCGGATCTTAGTAGTTTTAGCTCACTAGGGAATGTTTCACCCAGGGACAGGTAAATGAGCTTCTGTTCAGCAATATCCATTTCACACGGGTCTATAATTTCTAATATACTCGACCTGAAATGTTTATGGGATGGCAGCCATCTTAACAAAAATGCTACTGTCAGTTTGTATTTTACAAATGAATTGAATCTCTCCCATTTTTCGAATGGAAGATTTTTCTGTCAAACATCGACGACGAAATTTGATGAATCTTTCAGACAAATGTCGATATCACATGAAGGTCCTTTGAGTCTTATTTTATCAATAACCCTTGTATCGGGCTTGTACGGTCAATCAGTCGTCCTCAGTATACTAGGGCCATTAATCCAGCTGCTTTCCTTGAGGGCTTCCGAAGAAATCCCTCGTGTACCGGTATCAGCTGGGTTATCACCGCTAAGTATGTGATGCCACTGATCAGTGGTGGTAGACTCCAGAATATCACCAGTGCGATTCCAACAAAAAGGGGTAGTTTATTACAGGAGTTAAAGCCACTGAAGAACAGTGGTACTATCTGTCCACATGAAAATATCCGTGACTTTGAAAGTAAGACCCTTCAAAATTTCTTCTTTTAAGCGGGTTGCAAGAAGAGCCGCTTGAAGCTCTAACTTTGGAATAGATAGCGCTTTCATAGGCGCAACGCGGGCTTTGCCAAACACAAAGGCTAATTCGGTCTAATGCGAGCTAGCAAGTCGCACACGAAGGAAAGCGACGGCACAGAAAACATCCTGCGAACTATCACCGAACATGGAAGTTCTATTCGGTCGAAAGGGTCAGTGAAATAGCTGCGAGGTATTGTCAGAGAACCTGACAAATGAAGACATGAGCGCCTCTCTAGGAACTGCTTTTTGATTTCCTCTGGCAGATCGTCGTCCCATTTTTGACCGCTGATTCGCCAGATATCTTTTAATAGAAGGTGAGCCTTCACGGTATACGGAGCCACTAACCCGATTGGGTCAAAAACAGAGGAAACAAAACTCAACACGGTACGCCGAGTGATTGCGTTGTCTAGTGGACGATCAACCCCTCTACTAACGACTAAGGTATCTTTTACGTGATCCCACTTAACACCGAGAAGATGCGACGGCTGGTCTGGACTCGCACAAATATCTTTAACAGAGGAATCGGACTCACGGTTGTCCGGATCAAGAGCGGTTGTTAAGTCGGGCACGTTGCTGACAAATTTTGTCAGATGAAACCCACATAGTTTAAGCAACGAGACAAATCCCTACCTAATTTCAAGGCGTCATCCCTGTTTTGAAAAGAATCCAGATAATCATCCATATAAATATTCTGGACAACAGCCGAAGCAGCTTCGGGGTACTCAGCTTGATTATCCGATGCAGTCTTCTGCAACGCAAAATTCGCACAAGTCGGCGAGTCACGAGCACCAAAAATGTGACGCGTATATTGGTGAACTAGCACACTTCATGTGGGGTCCTCCCGCCACAAAAAACGAAGAGAAGGTTGATCTTCCTCGCGGACTCCAACCTGTAAAAACATCCCTTCACTGTCAACTGAAACGGCGTATTTATGCTGACGGAATCTTAAAAGTACAAAAATGAGGTTTTGAAGGAGATCCGGGCCAACCAACAGAGATTTGTTCAAGGAAGCGCCATGACACTTCGATGCCCCATTGAGGACTCGGCGTACCTTACCGGGTTTATTCGGGTTCAACACCGGGTGATGCGGGAGATACCACTCACGATCGGCTTGTGATTTGGGAACGTGTGCCTTAACCGTTATGACATATCCTTTTTGTACATCTTCTCTAATTGTTTCGGCGTATTTTTCACGGAGCGACGGATCCTTATCTAGCCTCTTTTCCAAAGACTTTAATTGAGCTAAGGAGGAAAAATAGTTATTCGATAAAGTACTCTCTTTATCGTTCCAAAGCATTGGTACATTGTACCTCTCACCATCGTGAAAAGTGTCATTTTTCAAATCGGACAAAGCGCTTTTGTCGGCGGCGGAACGGGCATCTACCTGCTTGAAGGCTCCATATGATTCCAACTCATACCAAGTTTTAATTTGGTCCGCAAGAGACATGTCTTCGACAACACACTTAAAGCAAGACGAGTTCGACTTAAAGGACGGCGGTAACGGACCACTTAAAACCTAACCTATCGGAAGGCGTACGGCGCACGGTGAAATAGAGTCCTTCCCCAGAAGGTACTCAACGGGTCTTATGGCATGGTAGAAATCCGGTCCAATAATTATTTCGACGTCCTCATACTTATAATGTATAGGTTTGATCTGAGCCAACTGCGAGTATTTTTCCTGTAATTCAGGAATACTTATGCTATCCGATCCAATGCGAATATGATCCTTAACATAAGCTCGAAAACAAAACGAAAATTCACTATTATTCGTTTCGGTGTAACTTGAAAACTTACTTGATGAGTTTTCATCAAGCTCGTGGAATTGAATCCATTTATGGCGAGGCTAACGGAAGTGCCAACCAAATGGAGGCGTTTTACGAGATCGGCGGATACCCATGACTGCGTGGAAGCAATATCGCAAAGAGCTAGGGCATTAGTAATCGTCGCATCCGAAGAGACGGCGAGTGATGCAACTGGCAGGAGGCCTTTAGTTGACTCCTGGCTATGAATATTACCGACGGCAGCGTTAGTGGATACATGTTTAGTGTTTGCCTTACCTGACGCCGGGGAACTTTTAGTATCCTTAGGAGGAAAATTTTTCTCAGCTTCATGTGAGAGCACGTTGTGCGTGCTTTCACAATCTGGCTTGAGGCACTTTCTGGCCTTGCTACAATTACGAAAACTGTGATTGCTCTGTAAACACGCAAAGCAAAGTTTTTGTTCAGCTACATGTTTCGCTCGTTGCGTAGCGTTTTTCTCTTTGAATACGGCGCAATTCCAAAGAGCGTGTTGACCTTTACATTCAGAACATGGAGGGAACTTTGGTTTTTCGTTAGTCTTATCACTTACTTTTGCATTACTAGCAAACACTTTCGTACCTACTTTTTGCTTCACTGGTTCTTCAGACTTAACCTTAGAATTAATTGTTTTTAGCCTCTCATGACCCTCCGCTTTTTCTTTAAGCCATTCGTTGAAATCTAGCAGAGTTGGTCGATGCCACTGGCGTCTTACGGTTTGCATTGACCATGCTTCCTTAAGGTTTGGAGGAAGCTTACTCACAGTCTGATTCAGTAAGTTAACACTTTTCAGGTCATCGTTAAAAGATAGAGACTTGAATACGGCAACAAGTCCAGAAATTGTAGAGGAAAAGCCCATTACATTTTCCGAGTTATGCATTTTCAGCTGCGGAAAATTACTCGATTTATCTAGACGAGCCCCTACTACAGCATGCGGCTGCCCGAACTTTCTTTGAAGAGTTGCTAATGCGTCTTTATATAGTACTCCGCTATAGCTATACTCAGCGATTGCGGATTTTGCTTTACCCACTACGAGCGTTTTCAGATAGGTAAGCTTTTCATCGTCACTGAGTATGGCTGAATCGACCGTCGATATGAACTGCCCAAACCACTCATGCCAATTAAGTGGGTTGCCATCGAACTGGGTCAGCTTCCACTCAAGGAGATGATCTTTTTGGCTGTGCATGAGTATATTAACCAACTCTCGTGTCGAAAGTGGACGCTCGACGTCTGCACCAGGTGAATTACCGGGAGTGGTCGCTGGGTAACTCGAAGAATTACCGTGATAATCAGTCCCTCCACTTGTATAAGAAACAAAATTATTCCGAGGAACAATCGGAGTTACTGCGGAAAAAACAGTTGTCGAAGGAACGTAGTGTTGTTGAGCTGACATTAAAGGGGCAGCAACAGCTGGTCTCCACGAATTATTATAAGGATTATAGTGGTCACTTGAAAAGTTATAACTACTAACGGGAACACCCATATGTCGTTGTGATGGGATTACAGGTGATTGGTAGCCAGCTACTACTGATCCTGTAGTTTGATGACTTAAAGAAACCTGATTAGTTGTTGTTGATGCAGGAACGAACGGTGCTACACCAGAAGGAACTTCTGCAGATGTTGTCGGAGCAAAATAATTTTCAGAAGTTACCGGGACTACTGACCCTGTGTTTGGATTGCCTAGCACCGGATGAGTGGACAAAAAAGTTTGCTGAGGCAAATTATTAGAAAAAGGTTGAATAACCTGCTGTAACCCTACTGGATTGTTAACGGAAATCTGCGATTGGACCAATTTCGACAAATTATGTTGTCCGTCACGCTCATTTGCGCTGCAACATTCTGTAAAACTTCGGGTATTAGTATCCATACAATCGTCAACGTTATGATTTCGAAAACTCATTTTGGTTAATTTTACTTGAACAAAGAACTAGTAAAAATTGATTTTTCAGTAAAGCTAAATTTAGTCGTAAAATTATCTAGAATATTCTAGAAGTTTGTATCTGCCAGTTGAACTGCTAAAGAAAAAATTATTCGTAAATCAAAGTTCGTTTTCAAGTGTTCATATTTTGAACATAGGATGAGAAAATTTTCTTTTCGTGCCCCAATGTTTCAATTTAGGATGTTTTTGAATTTTATACATAAATTAGGACGTTATTTAGTTTTCCGAATTTTTTATCAACACTTGTTTTTTTAAGTTGTTTTTATTTTCTTATTAACGCTTTATCAAATATTGGGAGGGAGAGTGAACAGCGAACAACATGAAAGTTCCGGAACAATCTGGAGTAATTGATGACCATTTGAAACATTCTAGATCAATCTAGAACATTTTGCTCTTGCTCTTTTCCACTAGACATTCGATAATCACCGGTACAGATTGAAGAATGGTTAACTATACAGCACCTGCGAATAAGATATTAAGTTCTCCAAAATACTAGTCTTCTGTCGTCATATGGGAAAGGAATGTTCTCCCCAAAAGAACAAAACCTTAAGGAAAACAAAGAGAGACCTGACATAATGTTACTTTTGGTATTTCTGAGTGAAAATCGTTTGGGGAGCGAGAACTGCCAGAAAAAGTTTCCTATCCAGTATTTTGCGCCAAGTTTTTTCAGTTTTGTGCAAATATACGCGGTAAAAAAACAATGCTTGCTACCGATGGGTTCAAAATCTGATAGATGGGTGCTGAATTTATGCTGTTTTCTTGTGATGAAAATATTTCTGTTAAATTGTATTGATCAAGCTTTTGTGACATTAAAATTTTGTAGTTAACTATTAATTGAATTTTGACAATTCTAATTTTTTTCTATACATTGTTAGTCGTTTGCGACGAGAGCTCTCAATGCTGTCTCTATTGTGTGCACGAAAGCGATTCTCTCCTTGTAGGAAGGAAGTTTGAATATCCAACTAGACTTCTTGGTCGACAATTCAATCGCGTGTTGAACGAACTTCGTATCTCGGATGACCCGAACTTTGACCTTGGAAAGGGCAATGCAAGTGCTGAAGATTATTTTTCGGTTTAGAATATGTTCGAACGGCTCGTGTTTGGTTTTTAAGATGCAAATCAGAAGTGAATCGGAGAAAAGAAAGATAATCAAGTCTTGAATGTGACTGTAAGTTTCACCGTCGCTTCGGATCTTGACAAGACTGGCATAGTCTTCGCGAAGAAAGTGTCGATTCCCTTCAAGAAGCTGGGGACAGTTTATGATTCGTTTTTCGATGTCGCAAATTTGCTTATCCCGGATCAGTTTGGTCTTGTACCGATATATGAACTGGTTTAGAGCTTCTAGCTTCACAATGGCCTGAGGTATATCAGTTTTGTCCGGGTGGTTGGGAGGCGTGTTTATCTGCAGCGACTGAAGAATCAAGATATACTCGCTGATTCGCTTAGTTGGAAGCATGTAAAGTTCGTGGAAAGTTAACATTTTAGTCCGAATGCTTTCTTCATTTTCGGCTATGAACGCTCGGAATGCTGGGTTTGTTTCGATTAACATGTCATAAGTTCGCATTACTATAGGATAGTTGTTGATGTAGTTAGTGTAAGCTTTGCTTTTGCCGCTGAACTTAATCATTATATCGGCAAGCGTTGATTCATTATTCCAACTTTCGATTTTCTCGGTGATTTCCTTAACCAATCCCCTGCTGACATCGAGAATAGCTGAAATGTCTGTGAATAACGCGTGGATATTTCCGATTCCGATGATAGGCTTGCTGGCATCCAAAGTTTGCTTAAGAGGTTTCATGAATACGTCGATCATACAAGTGAGGGATCTCATGTAATCAACCTCAGAAGACAGAAGTTCAACAGCCGCTGTAGCTCTTCGGTCCGGCTGGTTTTCTATGTTTTCTCGATTTTTCACGCGTTTCAAAGCTCGTTCACGCTCGTATTTCCTTAAGCACATCAAATCGGTAATTTCATCTTGTTCGTCTTTCTCGGTTTTGGGCCTAGGAGCATCTTCGCCGCTTGCAATTGCTTTTTGACGCTTCGCCAAGTAGTCGGATAGAAATTGAAGAGGTGGCTGCTTTTCTTTTTCAGACTTGAATTCGACAAGACCTTCGATAATCACCGGTACGATATCGCTCAGCATTGTTTTTAGCATTCCTAAATCAATAGCATCAAAGACCATTTTGCCGACCATTTCATTTACAATGCCTCGACGCTTGGTACTGAAGTAGTGGCCTAAGAATTGTTCAGTTTGGAACAAGGCGTCTTTCATACGGCTGGCTATGGCGATCCAGGTGACAATCTTCTGGAACTTGAAGTAATGATTGACAGGTTTCATGTCTTCTGGTTTCTCAAGCCAATCTCCGACAACGCTGCGGATGCCTCCTATCATGTTGATTGGGGAAGTAAATTTAAGACCGGTGAGTACTTTCAACTGAAACAAAAGTTCCATTCCACTGTCGCATGAGGCCAGTGGAGTGAAGATGTCTATGTGACCTCCGGTTCCGGGAGGAATTGTGTTCATGGCTACAGCGAGCCAGAAGTCTTTGATGTCCTTGTTTTCCAGATTGTCAGCAGCGACAGTCGCATCCTGAGTCAACCAGATTTCTCCAGGGTTCCCGTCGGTCAGAAACCCGATGCTCTGCGCTTGTCTCGATTTGAGAACGTTGTTTAACAAGGCGATCAATGTGTCAAGGGTAGTTCCTTCGTATTCGTATACAATAGCGATTACTCCATACATCACGGAGTCCTGCAGAATTTCTTTGGCGGGAAGTCGTGACGAGATAAAGATCACCCTCGGGTGCGAGTGAGTCGGGTAGTTGGCACTCAAATCCCGGAGATCCCGAGCTCGGTAGTCCTTATTGTCCGAAACGTCAAACCGACCGAATCGGTTTTCGTACGCTTGTTTTTGTGGGAAGTACAGCGGCGTTTCTTTTAGTTGATCGGAACCTTCGGCGACTCTCTCAGCGTGCAGAAGTTCCGACAGGGTTCCGGTTGATCTGGTCTCGACCTCTGTCATTTCCTGGAACTGTTCTTGCTTCAAAGGGTGTTTGTCAGTTCGTTCAGTTGACCCTAGACCGTAGCTATGTGTGGAAAAAAAACTATTGACTCCCCATCTGTTCTCGTGCAGGTATGCCGACTTCGGAGACTTGGGATTGTGGGGATTGTCCGGACTTATGAGCGATTGGTAGTTGGACCACTCAAGCTCCTTGGGTTTCTTATCAGTGTCTTGCCATCGTGGTCTGTCTTCGAGAGCCACTAAAAAGCAACTGAATGCTCAACCATTGTGAATGAATCGATGAAACTATGCTGATTAAAGCTACAAGCCTAGCTGACCTAAATCTAAAGAATAGATTTTCCCTGAATTTTGCTTTCCTTTACAGCCGTGTTAGAAACAGTCAGTAATTTCGGGATGGTTGATCTGGGTTCCGGTTGGCTGTGTTTGAATCACCCATTTTGTTGGCTATGTTTGAATTGTTAAGTCGTTATAAATGTATGCAATAAAACTCTATTTATATCGCAATCATTATTTATAAATTATCCAAAATCTGAATTGGCGTAAATCGGAAGTGTTTTTTGACCCCTTTTTTTGAAGAGATACCTAAATTTTTTTAGTGAGTAGAGTATTAATACACATCCATTGTGCAGTACTTACACGTCCTGGAACTAGACCTGGACAGCGGACTCTTAGATCTGGGCGTGGGAGTCCTAGGAGTGGAAATCTGATAGAGATTCCTGGCGCTCATGAACAAATCGGATCTGTCGGTGCCAAATCCATCCAATATTTTCTCTCCAAATTCATCCATTCGCTCTTTCCCAGGAACCAAGTTCTCAATGGACTTGACGTAGTGGCGTTTCCAAGCACCATTTTCCAGTTGCGAAGGCTGGTATTGTAGATACCACCCATGTTTGATACACTTCGAGATCCAAATCTCATCTGATTCACTCAGAAATCGCCAGTGAGTCGATACTTGAGCCGACCGACTAAGGGACTTCGGGTCGAGAAACGAGAAGATGTATTTTGAAATAAACGCGGGAAGAACAGACGTGAAATCTTTTCGTTTCACTACCAAAGTTGAATCGCTATAAAGCTGGACGAAATCCATTTCTGGCTGGCCGCAGTGTTGGAACATCTCAAAAATGAACTTCTTCCGTTGTTTTACGGACCACAAATCAAACCAGTGGCCGACTAAGTTGAGACGTTCTTCGAAAATCTGTTCATTTGTTGGTTTGTGGACTAAGGGCGTGTAGGCGCTGGTAGTTATGCTAACTGCTTGGTTTGTTCTAAAGTAATGACACCCATTTCAAATGTCCTGACACGCATGATTAGAAGCCTTTAAAAGCCTTTAATTGGATCATAAAATAAGTATTTAAATTAGAAGCTATGGAAATTGAATTACATGGCAATTAACAAACAAAATCTATTGAAAACTTTCACCTTTTTAAGCCATAGGGTGGTTGAACATTAAAAGGCAAACTGCTCATAGGCTATTTTTTCTGTTTCTTAGAATAAAATGGTTAACTACCTGGAATGAAACGCGTTTGTGGACTCCCAAATAACAAAAAAGTTACCTTAGGGATCCAAGATGACCGGTTCTATGCTCGATCTTCTGTTTTCTAAGGGTGGTTGCCGCGTTCTCATGCACCGGGATTGGGTTCCGGAATTTGGAGGGGGGAATGTACCCCGCTGGCCTGGAAGCCAGTCCCAAATCGACGGACTGTGAAACATTGGCCATGTTTTATACTAGTAAATAAATTTACTCTTTTAATGCATTTTATCAACTTTTTTTTTTATTGAAGAAAAAAAGAGTGGTATATGTTTTGTTAATGAGAATTATATTTGCAGAATCTACCAAGCACGTTTTTAAATAGCAACCAAAAATTAATAATTAAAAGCTGACAATCAAAACGTAGCTCGGCTATAATCGTGCATCATAAAAGTGAAGAGTTGCTTTGCTTGGATTTTTTGTACATTTGAGCCTTTATAATTCTGTTGCATTTTGACTGAGCGGAGTATTTTTTGAATGCAGCGTCTAACGATGTTAAAACTGTACGTCGAGCAAACCATAAAGCGTTTCATTTTATTGCTATTCAAAAGACGTTTCACTGGTTTGACAAAATACTACAAAAATAGTAGGTAGTAAAACTGTTTGAGTGCTTTATATTAAAAAGAGCTTTTAGTGAAGCCAACTGAAAAATCCTGAAAGATATTACAAGGTCAAAATCACCTAGCAAAAGTTGATAAAAACAAACTAATTTAAGTGTGTGAATGACGATCGTCTTCAAAAGGTTTGAAAATTTTTCGAAAGTATGAAGCGCCGCAAACGAATTTCTATTTTTTTTCTATTCGATTAGTTTTGCTGGAAAATTTTTTAAAATAAGATGAAAGAAAATTTATCCCTCTGAGTTTCTGATAGAATGAAGTAAGTTTCAATTTCTTAAAGGCGAGTGTTTCTTCAGATTTTTAAATAGGTATGAAGGTAGTGAATTGTTTTGTAGGTATTGGAGATTTTTTTCTTTGCTTTTTTTGTTCGGGCTCATATTTACTTTTTCGTTGTTTACAGAAGCAAAACTTGTGCTATTGTATGAGCTTTTTTTCCAATCAAAGTCGCAAATGTTGTTGCGACAAAGTGTGTTCATTTTGAAAGTGTTCTTTTTGATCAATAACCAGCTATTAAGTACAGTCAATGCGAAGGAAATTAACACAGATTATTACATTACAAATAGCACCTTAGCTGCAATGTATCATGCATCTGTAGCGTAGAGGTAGGGAAGCAGACCCGCAACAAAATATGAGGGTTCAAACCTGGGCAGGGTCGGATGTTTTTAATGAATTTTTTCGTATACTGGTTAAAATGCGTCCGCGCTTTAAATTGAGGAATGTTAGTTTTTTTTTCAAATTGACTGCTAATGCGTCATAATTGATCACATATCAATTATGTTGACTCATAATTGGCGTACGTCTTTTAAGAAATTCTGTAGACTCAAAGGTTTATTCATTCAGTTTTTTTCAGTAGCGTTATCGGTCAAATTTTTGCTTGTATGTAACTACGCTTCTGTGTTGACTTTTGATTTCTGTTTAAGTTCACTTCATTTCCTTTGTTGAAAGAAAAGCAAACTCTAGTATCAAACCAAAATGTAAAGATCTCGAAAAACGTGATCGACTTCTTCTTTCGAAAGTGGATTTAAATTAGCAGATTTTCCAGCGGAATGAAAGTTTTAGTTATTGATCCAGTTTTCTCAAATTGGGTTATTTTTGTCAAAAAATTTCATACATATTTTCTTTTAGAAATGCAAATATCCTTAAGGCTATATATATTTTCCTTGAAGATCGAAAAAAAATTTTCTGTTTCCTAGCGCTCATGACTTTTTTCCAATTGTCTGTTGGCTGTCTTTTTTATTTAATTAAATTACAAAGAAATAGCAAAATGGAGCCTGATGCTTAGCTAGCTGAGATGAGGGTTCGGTCAGCTCGCACTATTTTAAAAGTGCAAATTTTACTTGCTGATGATTTTCAAATAGTTCTCTTGCTCTAATGCGCAAAGTGTTGGCGTAAAGTTTGCTTTTCTCTTATTTTGGTTAACAGAAGGATTAAGTTGTTGAACTATCACCTGATTTTCAAAAAGCCAGTCGCAATTGCTTTGTCCATTGGGTTTAGTTTAAATCAAAAATAATAATAATTTGTTCCTTTTTTGATAAAACTATTTATGAACTTGTGTTTTCAGCAAAATGATGGATCTTGTTCATGGGTCTTGTTCTATTTTTGCTGCTGATTTTTGTATTTTTTTGCAGTTGATTAATAATTTACAATGCAAAATGAAGTAGATATCCGTGATAAAAATTTTGAATGAAGTATGAGCAAGATTAAATATTTTACAAGAAATTGAATCTCACATCATGGTTCATCGAAAACATAATTTAAATTGAACTTTTACTACGGTTTGGAATTAGGATAGCTTGAAAATTATCAAATCATAAAAAACCGATAGATAGAAACTTTTAAATTGAGGAATAATAACAACTTAACTCATACCAGTTGTGGCATTTTTGCTAAACAAAAATTGATACGCATTTTGAAACGTTTTAAGCACGAAAAATTGCTTTGTCTTTTGTAACAATTGTCGGGTTTCACGATTAATTGATGCCTATTTTGGATTGATTCCTTAAGGTGTTGGAAATAGGAAAAAACGACCTGCACGAAATATTGTTCGAGTTGTCAGCGTTGATAGAAATTCGTGACAGGACATAATTTGTGAACCAAATTTGGCCTGTTATTGTTGACTGCGTTATTTAACAGCTCAGCGTGTGTTGTGCTAGTTGCCAAATGGTAACATTGGCTTTGCCCACCTTCCCTTCAATTGACCACACTTGTTTAGTGGTGGTATTCAAACCAGCCGAAGTATAAACCAGCTACCATGTAAAGCAGCCGAAAACACGTAACAGTTATATAATAGTTATGTAACCATTATATAACCATAGTTATGTAACCAGTTACGAAAGTATATGAAAAATGTAAAAGTTATGTAACAGTTATTCAAGTTTCGTTCAAATTACATATCGGTTGGTTTTTATATACTCTGCGCTTTTTCGGCTGATTTATACTTTGGCTGGTTTATTCACAATTTTGTTTGATGGTATTGAATCTTCTCCTTTCCCTATCCACCCGCTCTCCTTTTTCTCAATTTGGAGCCAGTTGGGTTTGGGCTGATTATATGAGGGGCGGAGTTGGTAGTTGCGTGTCGCCTGTCAATCACTTCGAACCCATTTTGATCGCAACTGAGCTAATAGGCATGGCAATCATTGCCACAATACGTTCCCCCCTACACTACCATTGTCAGCCCGTACTTTTTGAAATATCTAAAATGAAGCCGATTAGAAAATGTTTGGCATATGTTCAAATTCAGAATTGCCCAATATTTTCGATATGAACGAAAAAATGACGAAATTTAAAAAAAGTTGCTATTAAAAGTTGCAGAAAGTTTTGTCAAATAATTTTTTAGCGAGAGTCATTACCAATGGAAGATAATATTGTAGTTCGTAGAAATTAAAACGAGTTTAAAGCTTTTCAACAAGTGTCGAGCTTTCGGCTGGTTAGTATGTAGGCTATGGGTTAAGCAACCGTTAATACCCCGCTGACGACCTCCATGTTTATTGCCTCAAATTTGCCCTGCTAGTAAACAACCGCAGTCTAAATTCACGCGAATGTTGACCAAATAGACCATCGCTCCAACTGCTAAACCAATGCAACCAACTCATGTTTATACTCGACTGAAACAATTTTCGAAAGTGACAGTCAATTCAAACGGCTCCCGAAACATTCCTAACTTGTTGAGTTTGAAATAATAAACCCAGTCCGTCATTTTACATGCTTCTAATTCAGGATTAAATGTCACTCAAATTAAGGAAAGTAAATCATTATTTTAGATAAAAGCCATGACTGAAAATCACAATGAAAATGAACTTAATAATAACGAGCCACGCGCGATACAAATCATAGAAACTAAACCCGATCACACTTTCGAATTGAACTTAGATGCACTGAAAGATGTCGTCCAGAGGCCTCATGTCCGCGACAAACGAGTCATGGTACTCTCGGTCGCCGGAGCGTTCCGAAAGGGCAAGTCGTTCCTCCTAAATTTCCTTTTAAGGTACCTAAAAAGACAAGCAGTGTCGGGATCTCGGAACGACTCTTGGATTGGCGAGGCTGAAGATAAATTACTTGGCTTTTCGTGGCGCAGTGGGTCCGAACGAGACACGAACGGAATTCTGATGTGGAGCGAACCATTCTTCGTGAAGACAAACTCGGGCGATGAAATTGTTGTTCTGCTAATGGATACGCAGGGATCCTTTGATAACCAGTCCACGGTTAGGGATTGTGCGACCATTTTTGCTTTGTCGACTATGATCAGTTCGGTGCAGGTTTTCAATATTAGCATGAATGTTCAAGAGGACGACTTGCAACACTTACAACTGTTCACAGAGTACGGTAGGCTTGCATTGCAATCGGCTCAAGGGAAGCCGTTTCAGAGACTAGTGTTCCTGGTTCGAGACTGGAGTTTTCCCTACGAGTACCCATACGGCGCAGAAGGTGGGGCTAAAAAATTGTCTAAAATTTTACAAGTTTCCGAGAAGCAGCATGATGAATTGAGAAATGTAAGGGGTCATATAAGTAGTTGTTTTTCGCATGTTGACTGTTTTCTAATGCCACACCCTGGCTTGAAAGTGGCGACCTCGCCTGAATTTGTGGGTCAATTAAAAGACATAGAGGTGGAGTTCCAGAACCAACTGAAAGACCTTGTCAAGTATCTCTTCAGTCCCGAGAAGTTGCAGTGTAAAATGATCAACGACCAGGCTATCACGGCGTCCGATCTGGTCGCTTATTTTGAATCGTACATGAAAATATACCAAGGTGACGAGCTACCGGAGGTAAAGACTATGCTGCAAGCCACTGCCGAGGCGAACAATCTCGCCGCTGTTTCCGCTGCCAGAGAATTGTACCAGCGAGAACTGGAATTATTTTGCGGAGGCGACAAGCCTTATATGAAGCCAGAAATCATGGAAACCCATCACAAACATCTCTCCGAAAAGGCTTTAGAAAAGTTCAAATCCGTTCGCAAAATGGGAGGATCCGAATTCAGCGAACAGTACGCGCTGCAGTTACATGATCAATTAACCAAAATGTACGTAAGTTGCACTAAGCAGAACGAAGCTAAAAACCTGTTTCACACGGCCAAGACCCCCTTCGTATTGTTCACAGTAGGCATCGCTTTTTGTTTTCTCATCGCTTGTTGTTGTAAAATGTTTAAAATCCGAAGAAGTTATCCGAAGAAGTTATCAGTGTAAAATGAATCAAAACCTCTCAAAAATAATTGAAAATTTTTGCTGTGCAAGAAGTGGCACTAGATTTTAAACATTTGAGGTGAGACAATTTGTTAAGTCTGATTTAAGAAATGACGGATTTCAGGATTAATTGATTCCTATTTTCTAAGATGGCAATAGGTAAAAACAACAACATGCTCAAGCTTTCAGCTTATTTTGGAAATGTTTTCCGGAACTTCAGAGGAACATCAAAAATATCCTCTGAGGGCTTACATCCGAAGAAGTTATCAGTGTAAAATGAATCAAAACCTCTCAAAACGTATCGAAAACATAGATGCAGTGACTTGTGTAATCCATTTTTTTTTAATTTGAAAGTTTTCAAAATAGTTGCTCAATGGGATTACTTAATATGACATTTGTGACCTAATTTTTCTCAAAATTGCTGTCGTTCTCCTAATCAATTTGTTTGTGAGCTTCTAGTATTTTAAGTTATGTGAGCTTGGGTGCAAGTTGCTGTAAAGTGTGGGTTTCCCGAACTCATCTCAATATGTTTTTATAATGTTTTTGACTTAATTAAGTATATCAACTTCACATACAGTTGTTACTGCTTAGTTGACGTAATTTCATAATAAATTTCTGATTAGCTTAAATAGACGACAAAAATGATCACATTTTAGACTTTCAATTAGCATTCTGGACCATTTCACTGATAATATCAGTTATACAAAACAACAAAATATGTATAGTTAAAAAAATTTTGAAACCACAAACTCATACAGTTTACTTAGCGTTGGTTTGGTTTATGTTAAAGGCCAGTTATTTAACGTAAAAAAGATCAAATTCTAGAAGCGACTATTTTATCATAATGGCAGCTTTGCAAATTAATTTCTGTCAGTCATGCTTTGCTAGGGTCTTCCTCGCTTTACTTTGCCTTACTTGCTGAAACATTCAACATTATCATGAACCAGGTTGCTCGTATAAAGGCAAAGCCCTGAATATTCTGACTGCCGTTTAACAAGTCTGAAGGAAAAATTTTGAAACTTGTTTTTTTTATTTAGTTTTAAATTTTACCCTCTAAAACGCACTTTCCATTACTAAATGACACTTTTTACGTTTTTAGGTAATCTTAGGATCAATTAGATTGCTTCAATTTCTGAACCACACAATGTTGCTGTTTACGACACGCTTTTTTGAAAAACCAATTTTGTGGAAATTGGCTGTGGCAACAATTTTTCATGACATTTTTTCAATTTCGGCTCATTTAGCGATTGCTCAAGTGTTTTCAGTTTTTTGGTCGCTCTTTCAAGAATACTAAAAGCTGATTTACTGCTGTTGGCTGTGTTTGTCGACTGGTTTTCTGAAATTGAATTGTTCTTTTAAAGATTCTATTTTTCTTTTTTTTTCAACTGATTTTTGTTGACTGTGATTTCTGTCTTTTTTCCTATTGGCTAATTTGAAATGCTCTGCTTAGCCTCTGTGTGGAAATTGGTTTTCGGCGGAGAACTTTTCCGCAAAGCGAAATCAGAAAATGAACTCCGAATCCGAAAACCATTTTTTCAGAAACACACTCGACAAATATACTAGTTTTGACTTTCCAATTTGCTCCCGAAATTTTTTGGATATTTTTTCGAGTCTTCAATAACTACATACTCTTTTGTGTCAACATTTTCTGTGCCGCAGACTATTTTTAAATAGAAATAGACAAAGTTCCCTTGAGAACTTCTAACTAAATTCAATTGAATGCAGTTTCAGAAAATCAATGTGGTCGACTTTGGAAATCCGACTATTCGAAAAATCCTAAGTTTGGCCCTGCAATAATCTATGAAGTGCTATTATGAATTTGAGATAGAATTTCATTGTAGTTATATAAAATTTTCCGGCCAAATATTAATTTGAATCTATTTTACAACATCACCTCTTGGCAAAAATGTACAAAGTTCACTAGTAATTTGAATAATTCGAGCTTTACCGATGTATTTTTTACATTAGAAGGGATGGTTATGAGGTAATATGGGATGTGTTTTGTCAAATAGGACCATAATTGTGAATTTAATCAAAAGCTTTATTGTCTGTTGCCGCAGGCAAATGAGAATAGATTCTTCAAAAATCATCCAAGCCAATAAGTAAGATTGGTATCAGAATTGAGACAGCACGAGGTAGAATATCCACACAAACTCTCGAAGAAGAGCTGGAATAGTCTTTGATAACCACAAATTTATCCAAAACTTCGTCCCCTTCGGAAGCCACAGTGAGAAATTCAAGAAAGTTCTTCTCTTTCACGCTCAAAAGCGTGAACACGTTTTTCTTCAAGCTTGCTGCCGACCAATCAGGTTTCGGAATCATGAAATCGGCCAACTCGATTTTTCCGGCGCTGCCAGAGATGATATGGACCGGATATCGGGGGTTCCTGAATTCGTTGCTGTTCTGATGGGGTTCGAAAGTGAAGTTTGACATCGGATAAGTTCGCTCAAAATCGTGTTTGTGTCCTGGTTGAAGAAATTCATGCGGATTTTTTTTTTAAATAAAAATTTTTTGCTTAATTTAATGCAGACTATAAATTTTTGTTCGTTGAAGATACAACTTTTGATTTGAAATGATTGGCTTAAATATGGCATATCTGATCTAAAACTTTGCGGTTCATAATTTTTGTCTTGAAGTTCCAGTGGGGTCCCTTCAGACCATGACCCCTACCCCCCCCCCAAAAAAAAAATCGGGATTGGGATCTATGAAAAGTGGGTTTTTTGATTGCGTGAGAGGGGGATTGCCAAAAGTTATACAGTATTTCGTTTGCCTGCATGAATTTTACCTGTGATCACAAAATCAACCCGATTAGCAAGGTAGAGTTCCTCCAATTTAAAATAGGCTTGCTTATAGCCAATTCTGACAGGGTTGTTCGTTCTACAGTCTCTGTCGTTCACATTAGTGCAGTACATAGGCCGATGTCCCATGACTATTATCCAGGGTTGTTGTTCTCTGTTTTCAGGAAGATTTGCCACCTCAAGGTCATTCTTCAACCAGTTGTACTGAGCCTGAAGACACACGAAATCATGGGCTTAAATAATTAAGTTTCGGCTCATTGAGTATCTGTCTCAGTTTTAAGTGCGTAGTTGCCATATGTTATCAGCAGTATCCTATTTTGCCTCTTTTACCCCCCACCCCCTATTTCAAATGTTCCTTTCTCTTAGTGGTCTTTCGTGTTTTTATGGCGAATGAATGCGTGATCTTAAGATGTAAGGTATGAAAAACAAATGCGTTTACAATAGTTAAATTGATGACCATGCAAAATTTAATTGCATTACGACGAGCTGGAAAAATAGTTTTTCAAAGCTAATCAAATGAAAATGCAAAATGGCCCCTAGTTTTCCATTGTTAATCTAATAACACATTCTAAGTATCAGGCGAGGTCTTAAATTTTCTAAGTCTCGATTAAATCAGGGGTAAATTTAGGGGAAAGGACAGCTAAAAAGTGCTCAGCAACTGCTTACCTGTTTTTCCAAAAAAATTGACCTATAGAAAGTTTGATCCTCCCCGAAACGAAAAAATCTCCCCCTCGAGAAATTTATCCTCCCCCTCGAGAAAATCTTAGAGCCACCCCTACTTTTAATAGCCTCAATTTTTTACCTATTTTGTGTCAAAAGTTCAAATAACTAAGTGTAATTATTAGTCGCAAATAATTTGCCTCAGTTCAGTTTTTAGTGAACAATGAGAGCATTTTGATAAGTCAAGCTCAAATAATTCTCGCGTTGTTTGCCTTGGGCAGTATAGATAAAGGTATACCAAGAGTGCTTAAGTTGGTCCAACAAATTAGTCATATGAAATTGATCAAACCCTTCAGTTCAAGAAATGCTGGCTGAGGAGACAGTGAATTGGATGAAATTAGTCAAATTTTTGACCGATCACAAAGCAACAGTTGAAATTTTAAATAGAAAACTAAAGTAGTACTCAGCGCAAAAAAAATCATCGCGACCTATATAAGAGTCTGAACTATGTTTATCGATTTAAAAAATCTTATAAGAAATTTTTGTCAGATTACTAAACAATTCCCCAAATTCTATCTAAAAAATTTCTACCCCTCTTAATTAAACAGAAAATTACCACTTGAGTTTTCTATTTAGGAGGGGTAGAGATTTTTTAGTAGATAGAATTTGAGGGGTTGTTTAGTGAATCCGACAAAATGTTCTTATAAGTTTTTTTTTGAGTCTGAACGTAGTTCAGACTCTTATATCGGTCGCGATGATTTTTTTGCGTTTTTTCCATGTTATGTCTTGAAATTTGTTCCGGCTCAAATTTACATTTTCGCGGTTTGACTTTTAGTTTCTCTTAATTTCAGTTCATTTCTTTTTTTAAAAGGAAGGTAAACTCCACTATCGAACATCAAGAGTCTAAAGGTCACAAAAAACGTGATCGACTTCTAGTTTCGAAAGGAATTTAACTTTCAGATTTCCCAGCTAGATCAAATTTTACTGATTGATCTATTTTTTTTCTCAAATTGGGTTAGTTTTATCGAAAAAGATACAATCATAAATTATTCTAGAAATTCCAAGAGCTTAGAGCGAAAATAGAGCCCATTATTATTTGCGAAACATTAATTTTTAATAGTTGTTTTTTGCTTCTAACTTACTTGTCCCACACAAAAGGCTGAGAGGTTAAATTGGCACGATCGTATTTTTCAGAAATTGTTCTCAGTGAGGAGAAAATCTGGTCTGAATTCAGACAAAATTATAACTAGGGGAGTGAATCAAAACTTTCATGGTCATTTTGTTGATTAAAGTGTTGAATATCAAACTTCGTTGGTATAATATTGGCGCCAAAACTTTGATTTGCCTCAAAGCTTTGATAAGAAAGAAGTAAAAAATTGATTGGATCAAGCTCACATCCGGCCAATTCACTTACTAATTTCGTTTAAATTTGTTCAGCAGTGCGAAGTTCTGATTGGCTAAAAACTGTTAGGGAAAAAGTGCGGGAATCTTTTCTGTTACACGGTCCAAAACATATCTTTATTGTGTTTTGAAAACTGTACCACTTTGTTCGGATCTGATTGGCTTAAATTAATTCCAATGGCAGGAAATCCAGATTTTTTACGTATATATGCTGAGTTGATAATTTAATAGTTTTGGGTCATGTAACAGAAATGACCCAAAAATGCATGCAGTAACTAGACTTTCTTCACAAACAGACGCCCAAATAACTTTGTTTGCTGCTTTTGTTGGCTTAGCTTAGTTAGAATTATGCAAAAAATTAAAACCGACAACCATGTATATGACAAATATGCCGCGTATATTCGCAAATACCGATTATAATTTCATACATATTAAGTGACATTTATACGGACCTGAATTTTCTCGAAACTTCAAGCGAAAAAAATTAAACTTCAAAATTAAAGTCTGAATCAAATAACCGGTTGACGCCCCCCCCCCCTCAGGGATTCGACCCCCCGCCGACCCGAAGGGTCACCCCTCTGGTACTTTTTAAGAAATCCATTTTTGGCCGACCAAAAACAGTGCTCAAAAACAGCTTTTTGCCCAAAAACAGTGCCCAGAAACAGCTTTTTTAACCTGAAAAAGTGCCCAAAAGCAGCTTTTTTAACCTGTTTTTTTTTTCAAAATTTTGCCTGCGCGCACAAAATTTGGCCAAAACCGCGTCTTTTTATTGCTTTAGGAAAGCTCGGAAAACCAATTTGGTTGACCTAAAAAAAAGGCCGTCAAAATTTTCCAAAATCCGCCCCCCCCCCCCCTCGAGAAAATCCTAGATCCGCCCCTGTAATAACTTGAAGGTTAAAACTTTATTATTAAAAACTAGAGGACAAGGAAATACCAGATAACTCTGGTCAAAAACAATAGCCACGGAATCCGTATCCGGTCCGTTGCGGATTCCACGGTTTTTTCCCGCAATGTAAAACATTTTGTCATCTTTTTGATCGCACACTTCAGTATAATCGCGTATAACAGAGAAGACCCAAAAAATGCAGCAACATACCTGTATCTGGCCGGTACCAAACTCATCAAACATATAAAACTCGGTTGTGAGAATCACAAAATGAACTGGACCGACATTGAAGCTGTTATAAAACACGTTTGGGCCTGGCGAACTGAATCGACCTCTGAATTGGCTGAAGTTATTATACTTTTCGTGGTTTCCAGCTGCGAAATTGTACGGTACTCGCGATGCAATTGGTTGAATTAAGTTCATATACTTGTCTCCCATTTTGCCCAAGTCATGATTCAAATCATACGCCATATCCCCTGCTTGAATTACGAGGTCAATTTCACCTCGATTAGCTAGTTTGGTTAATTTTGGAACTGAAATATTGTAGTAGGTGCCTAAGTCCCCGAAAAGGGCGACAGTCGGTCGGAAGTCAGAACCAGAGTCGAATGTTCGAAACTGAAAAGTTTCACTGATGCCAGGTCCCGTTTGCACGTAGTATTCTGCAATATTAAAGAATTTTGCATTTAAAATCATAACCTGGAGTTTATAGACTTATCGAAAAACAAAATGCTACTTTTTTCGGAACGCAAGACCCAGTCCTTTTATTTGAATGATAGCAAACCACACCCCCTTCACCCACGAATTCTACACCCTTACCACTCAAAGCCATTTCCCCTTTGGTAGTTTTTACTTTCATTTTAGGCCAAACAGCCCGAAAAATTCCAACTACAACAAAACAACAAAAAATGGAGGCAGTTATACATGATAATAAAAGCGTAAAAGCTGAAAAACTGACAGGCATCATTCAATTCAACAAAAAATTATTCAGAGTTTGCTGCCTACAAACTGATTTGAATTAAAATAAGTTATCCCTATGTAGCAAATTGCAAAACGAAAGTTGGAACAAAAGTTGGAACAAAGTAAAATGCGCAATTTACCCATTCTGAGCAGTTTTTGTAATCGAATTTGAATTTTTAGTTGACCTTTAGACAAACTTTATGTCTGAAAAATTAGGAAATAAGTCATCTGAAAAAGTATTTTGCTCTTTTTAAACATTTCGTCTGTTCTATTTTTTTTCCAATTCTCTATAGCTTCAGTGACTAACCATAGTTTGTGTTTGACTTAAGCCCTTCCATTTTCGCTCTGAAAACATAGCTGGTCCTTTTAAGTGAACCCTCTTCCTGTACAAAGTCCGATTTAGTGGCATCCACTTTGTGGTATTCTGAAGTTCCTGCCCTCCTGAAGAAAACGTAGCCGACACCTTGTGGATTGAGACTTAGCCATGTAACCAGCATCGAAGAAACATCGCCTGAAAATGTGAAGCAAAACACAGAATGTGAAGCAAAACACAGAATACGTCATCAGAATCAGTATCAGTAGCAGAGTTTCCCATCTAAATTAACCACCACCGAAACAATTGTAAAAAGCGAAGTTTTTTTTCCGACTATTGAAAATGGGAAGAAACTTTGTACTCGGGTTTGTTTTAATTTTTTCTTTTTTTTAAACTTTGTTTTGCATGCAAAATCCTGTACCGCAAGTAATCATCGTACTGGGTCGAGTAATGTATCATCTTAAAGCCCTTTAAGTCGTAATTCGAACGACAAAAAAAATTTAACAAGTTTTTCCAAGTTTACTGGTTTAAAATTAAAAATTTAGTCCGATTTTGAGCGAGTAAAGCTATCGAGTAACGTTCGTTTTTAACTTTTTTTTTTCGTTTTTCTAGTAACTTTTCTTCAAAACCTGTTTTCCAATATGCCTATTTTACTATGACTGTCGAATATGCCTAACTTATATTTTTTTTCATTCAGATATTTTTATCACACCCCGCAGAAAAAACAAAACTTGTTTGAAAAATTTTTTTCGTATTTTTCTAAGACTATGGTCAACCATGCTCTACTACTTGCAACAGTAAACGGGTATTCTTGTCTTAATATGCTTCTGCTGTAAAGTTTAGCACTGGCTTGGGTAAGGAGAAACAATTGAAAGCCGGCGTCAAAAATCAGGTCAGAACAGCTACATGCAACTTGTATTTTCACAATGAGTCTGAAAAAAATGAAAGCGCTTTTTTCGAAGTTACGAGACTATTATTAAGTATCCTGAAGGATAAGAAATTGAATCAAAATTGAAGATTATAAATGTGAAGTCATTGTGGATTTGTTGAGAGATGCCTAAATTTAAGTTTCAAAATATTTCATGGCAATTTGACCAGCCTAAGCTTTAAGCTGCTTGAACAACTCTATTTAGTTTTGATTCAAAACTTTAGACCTCAATACAGATAAGTGAAACTCACTTTTGTCAAAAAAAGTCAAACTTTAGTACATTACTTTCATTTAAATCAGTGAAAGAATAAAGTCGACACATTTAGTAGTTCTTCTTCATTCCGCGTCATCAAATGATATACTCGTAAAAATTTTTACAATGAAGATGAAAATTTACTAACCCAACTTGTATTGGGATAAAAGGAAGTGAGCAAAATATGAATTTATTGGTGACCAGTGCAATTAAAACAATCAATTGGCATAAAAATATAAATCAACTCCAAGCTGTTCTTTTACTCTGTGCATCTTGTTTCTCCGACTTTCGAAGAAAGTAAGGAATAGTATATATGCTCGGGTGGTTTTTTATTCTCAAAATCATTTTCCTCGGAAGATCAATCAATGGACTTTTGGGGCCCAGGAAGGGATGCACCCACCACTAGACTATGCTTGCTGAAAGCTTGCTGGGAAACGCTCACAAATAGACTAAATTGACTATAAAAGGGCTGCGATACTTTCATGCTGAAAGTTTAACGCGCATTATTTACGCGCGGTGAAATATCTCGCACCCACAAAATCATTCCAAATTCAATTGAGGCAGGCTAACTGGTCTTATTAATTCCATACACGATTCTTAATATTCAGCTTAAAATTCCTAGTTTGTGAATATTTCATTTAACAAAAACTAATTGAGACCAATTAATGGACTGTCCGAAGATTCAGGGTATTGCCTTGATACGATTGGTCTTGTTTTAATTCATTTGCATTATCCATGTATACTTTTGAAAAGTTTTTCGCACAAAAAATTGGACGTGCTGGAAAAAGAAACAAAATGGAATGAATACCAATTGTGGTTGTACATGATCAAAATGAACATAATCAAGTCTTTTCTGTTTCTGAATAACTAACTTAGTTATTTAATACCAATCCAGACATTTTGTTTTCAATTTGATTTAAATAACAACGGAGCCTTCAGAAATCTACAAACTCTCAAATTTTCCATAACTATCGCGTAGGCTCATACTCCTATTTTTCGTACCTGGAATGTGTAGCCCAGAATTGCTAATTAAAATTTTTTGTAACCGAGGAATTTTTTATTTGGCTGTTCAGAAAATCATTTCAGTTTCTCCAAAAAAAACCGTACTTCGATAGACAAATCTATTAAGAAATGTATGTTACAGGGTAAACTTAAGTAATTTTTCTATCAAACCGTCCCTGCCTTTTAATATAGAGTCTTAGGTCAGCCAAGTTGAAATAAAATATTTTTCCCCGAAAACAATTTTCACTATTTTCATATGCAATAATAGTTTCATGAATCCAAAAGTTGATCTTCCAAATAATTGTTTTTTTCTCCCGTTTTTTATCCGACTATTTTTGCAGAAAATGACGGATGATATGTGTTCTCTGTGGGTTTTTTCTCCAGACAATTTTCCAGTATTTCACTAGCATTTTTTGACGGCAGTTTTTAATATTCTATCATTCGAGAGGTTTTGGTGCCCTGAGCTCAAATTAAAAATTTTACTTATAATAGTTCTTTGTGAAGTTACGGGGGTTTGAGGATTGCAAATTTGTTCAATTTGAGACAATTAACACGCGATTTGTTTCGTGGTATTAACGCGTCATTGAGATTTCATCCGTCTTAGAAATTGCTCCAAATTGAACTGACGCGAGCTACTGGGTCTGTTTAATACTTCGCTATAAGCGGAGTATATAATTTTGTACTTTAAATAGCGTGTGGCAGTTGATTTTCAATAAAAACTTTTTTTAAAAGTCTGGTCGTTTTCAACCTCTCCTTGAAAATGGTAAAGCGAAGAAAAATCTACAAAGGAAGTGGCGATTGGAATTATATTCAGCGAGGCCAGGAAATGTAAATAAATACCAAAGTCCCTAAAAGCTTTTCGACTATCAAAGCTCATTTAGATTGTGCAAATGTTTGTCCGGGTAAAAAAATCATGAAAAATTGTTGATTAATAGTAGGTTGACCTTTTCAATAATCCAGCTTTGGCCCTTTTGCATCACCCTTACCTCAATTTTCAATTTCAATTATGAAAAATTTCTTTTTTGTGATGAATTTTGACATGGTGATTAAACTAAAAAAATTTAAACAGATCTGTTTTTCATATGATCGTAACATTACGCGTTCAGCCTTAATAACACCTGAAAACTCTATGAAAGTGAAAAATGGAGAAGATCCCGAATCAGTTTTTTTAGACTTATACTTAAAAAGGCTCTCATTTTTTAACAAAAACCCGACCCGAGCTACCTGTTTCAAAAAAATGAAATTCTGTTTTGTCCCTATTTTTGGATATAATAATTCTGGATATAATTTGGATGTTTTTGGATATAACAAAACAAGTTTGATCAATGCTAAATGTTTGATTCATTCAGTACATTTACTAATATATTAACAAACATAATCAAATTCAGAGCCACCATGAATATCATGACTCGGATTTTCGAAAAAACTCGAGAAAGCTCAAAAAACTTCAGAACTCGATAAAACTTGTTCAGGCTATTATGAATACACCTTCTGGGATACCTTTTACATTCAGGCCTGCAAACTGGGCATGAAGACTGCAAGTTTTACCTGAATAGCTCAAATGGATTTGCTCTGGGTTGTTCGATACAAAATCTTCAACTTGAGTTGAAAGAGAAATCGCTGATAGGGTTAAAAGGGCAGCCGTGAGTATCATACTTGATCTGCAGCGCAGCTTTTGTGATAAATGAAAGAATATGGTTCTAAAAGAGTCTTTAAGATCTGAACTGGGTTTGACTATAGATGAGATTTAGATAAACGATTTTGATGATATAGCTATCGCATATTAAACACAAGCCATTATGAAGGCGGTTTGACGATTTTACGGTTTATAACAATAAAAATATTCAAATTTGCACTTTGAATAAGAAATCGAATCATGAAATGAACCCAAATATATGTTTTTGACAAATTGATGTTGTCAGAAGTTTAATTGCACTAAATTTTTTCTGATTTAAGAACTAATTAAAATCCGAAAATTGCACGCAGAGCGTAGTTTTTTTTAAGAAAAATAACAGAACATGATTTTTATAGGCTTGCTTTGAATAATGAATGATGAGTGTCTAAAGAATGATTTTTCTGCAAAACAATAATGACGACGGTGTAAAATTACTCAGCTGTATAAAATCACTGACGATTTTTCTGAATAATTTAAAAGTTATGAATGAATGATTTTCAAGAAATTATTGGTCTTCGTTGCAATTAAATTTTGATTTCATAGCACTCGCTTTCGTAAAACTCTCATTGCAAAAATTATTTACACTAAATTTTATGTATATGATAGGGCAGTAGTTGACTTTTTAAACTTATTTTGACTTAAATTTAACTTAAATTTAAGTTTCAAATTTAAGTTTCTTAAATTTGCTTCTAAGTAACTTTCAATGTATAAATACAGTTAACAAAACACTGACCACGCAAATTGAATTGTTAAAACATATGCAATCACTTTAATTTTTAGCCGATATCTATCAAAGCCGGATTTTGAGCATATGGGATGTTAATTTTTATCAGCTTTTTTAGAGTTTTTCTAGACGGGGTAAAATACTGCAGTTTATTTAAAAAAGGTTCGAACATTTTAACAAACATTCTATTTTTTGATCAACTTGGCCTCTTTAAAAGTCATTTTTTTTATTGCGAACAAAACGCTGAAATGGCGCTGAAATTTGATTGGCTCGTTCAGTGGCGTGCGCGAAATTTTTTCGAAGGGGAATTCCATTAAAAATAAAATTTAGATACACAAACTATACAGAAAGTAACAAAATAGCGGTTTTTGAAATCTTGTACGAACAATAAATTATAGAAATTGTATTGTCCGTTTTTGAAGCCAAATCGTTTGATGATTTCATCTACGTTTAAGAGTTTTTCTTTATGGATATACTAGCCAGCAATGATAGCCGGTCTCCCCCATGGTTGATCGCAAGTATTTTCTGAGAAGCTTCATCTCAAAAAAAAATTGTTCGGCCGGGCTGACAGTGACCGGCAAGCTGGCAAAAAATTGCATCAGAGCGTACGCTGTGGTTTTTCGAGTCTTTGAGTATTGAAATAAGTCATCGTTAACGGTTGATGCAGCCGAAGTTTTGTCGGGCAATATGATTTCCAAATCTAAAGCTCAGATTTAAATTTTGAGTCCTGTAGAAATTCAAAATGAAGGGCTAGAGTTTGTTCAAAGTCTTTCATATCAATTCAATTCGTAAACCAGGTATGCTGGAAGAAGCTTGTAGGGTTGCATCAGCAAAAGTTTTTTCAAATCTGACATCAGAAAGTCAAGAAACGGCAAATACAGCTCTTGCCCATCATGGTCCTTGGCTTACTGTTTTTCTGTTTGTCATCGTCTGTAATCAAAATCAAGCCCAACTGGGCATAGCTCTATGACATCTTCAAAGATATTAGCAAAGGAACCCGAGAAAATATTTGGAATAAAAGTTACCTTTTTGAAATATTTTTGATTAAATACAAGCGCAGAGTCAAAACTTAACTATATAGAAAGTTACTGTTTGTTTTAAGACGCTAAATTGCAGCTGCATACACTTTGATGTAAGATATTTGCCATTGAATATGTTACGTTTGTTAGTTGACAAGATTGCCAAGTGCTCCACCCTCAATTTGAGTGGTTGATTTTATGGGTTCTACTTTTGACTGGAACAAAAGCAAACTGGATTAAAAGTTCAGACAACTGTGGCTAGGAGGCAAACATTCCATTGTCTTGATTGTTCACACGAAAACTCAAACAAGCAGTCTAGTGGAGCGCAAAAATTCATTGTGAAGAAAACATTTTGAGTTGGTGCTGAAATTTCATTGGCTAAATACTGCCAAGCAGGTTGAAACAAATTAGTTTCAATTCAAGATGTTGATTTACTGATTTTTCCGGGAATAAATAAAAGACTCAAACTTTGTTCCAACCATCAAATTAAACCCAACTGTAAAACAGCCAAAGAAACCATTAATTCTCATTCTTGCTTTTTCGCATTTTTTTTATATAAGTGATTTTGTTTTTTCAAAAACTTTTGTGGCGAGAAGCAATAGAAATAGTCAAGTAAAATCATGCAATTCAAAAAAAATTGAGTTTTTGGCTCAGACAATACCTTTATCATTGTTCACGCTAACAAACAAGTCGACAGAACATGCTTAGAAAAATTGTAGATAAGAAATTGAACTAAAAAAGTTTTTTTATGTCTTTCAAAAAAACAACGGAATAGTCGTGCTCAAAATTTAGTTCCGCGTGACAAAATGTGACTTCCTAACAAGCCATCATTCTTCGGCAATTTTAAATAATAGCTTTAATCCAATTAAAAATATGAGCTCAACTTTATAAAAAATCATTTGCGACATTTTTTGTATACAATTTGAGTTTCTAAGAAAAATTATTTGGCCAATTTGGTGAAAATAATTTGCAGCTAAGAATTGTTATGAACGAGTTCGCTTTTTGATTTTAAACTTTTATTTTCTCAGCCTTTGTAGTTATTGAAATCTACCAAAGTTTTGAAATCTTAATATCAAAAACTAAGTGTTCTGATGAACAAGACTGTTAAGAAGTCTTCCAAATTTCTATGCGAACTGCACAAGAAGCAAGTCAATATATCTTCGCAGGTTCGTTTTCCAATTTTTGTTTTCAAAGGCAGCACTGAAACCGTAAGTAACAAGATTGATGCTCGGTTTGTCTTGCACGTGTTGTTCTGACTGCCAATATTTGCTTTCTGTATTTACATTTATTTTTGAAGCCAAGCCAGAATTTTATTGATCGGCAGCTTCTAAGCCTTATTTCAAAACCGCTTCCAAGGTATTTTGAATAGAAGAAAAGTTAGATTTAAATACAAAAAATTGAACCAAAAAGGGTGAATAATTGTGAAATTATTTTATCCATGCTTGTTACTTTTTGATTTTCTTCCTGGAAATAAAACTTCATAAATTTTAGACCTTCTATAAACTTCACTTCATAAATTTCATAAAAAAAGATACAAAAAAGGAAAAAAAAATCAATTTAAAATTTTAGCTACTTGTAATTCGTAGCACGCTTTTACTTTATCATTTATGTTGCTGTATGCTAAACATATACAACATTGCAATTTAAGTATTATGCGGTGATTGATTAAAAAAAACAAGACATTTTCTTTTAATTTATTTTTTTTCGGAAATTTCAGCATCTTTTTTTTGAATCGAACAGTGGTCTACAGACAGTATCAGGCAGTCGGAAATTACAGGTCGTCACCCTGATAGAAGCAGCTTGTTTTCATTTTGCAAATGAGATGTAAAAGGTCAAAAGCTATAATTTTAAGTTTTGTGGGATTGATACTTATCCCTGTTTAGCATGGTTTTCTGCCTGAAAATATTTTTTTTTATAGATAGACACAAGCAGAAGGAAAAACAATGAAATTTACGGTTTTGAAATTATTTGCGGGTCATTGCGATAAACATCAGCGTGCGATGGTTGCCAGAGCAGGCGTTTGTTAATTAAAGATCGAATTGCTTTGCTCCACGAATCAGAACACTACAGTCAGTTATTAAGCATTTTTGGAATGTCAACAAAAACTCATCGCGGACTATTCTATGTTTTTGTTTGAAAACGTGCTGTAGTTCTGTAAACATTCTGAAACCGTGCTGCTGCGAATTGAAAACTGTGTTGTAAATACTAAGATACAATAAGAGGAAAAACCTCTTAATATATTCTTTTTGAAGCTACTTGTTATTCATAGCGATAAAAATTAGCATAGACAAATATGTATTTTTCAACTCCCTCGATACCTTTTTGAGTGATCGAGATGTTTAGCAAATCATTCAATTGTTGCAAAATTAAACCAATAAACAAGTGCTGATGTATGATTTTTAAAAATTAAAGCGTTTCACTGAGAATTTAAAGCAAAACACGGGTGTTGAAGCATTTATTGTTCCGACTACTTTCCAAAAAATTGTCAGAATATTTGTATTCAGGGCGATTTTTTTCTCCAGACTAATTTTGTCTGTTTAATTAGTCATAGATATGCGGTGTTTTTCACACCTGAAAAGTTTTTGTGAAGTAAAGGGGGTTTGATAATTGCAATTTGGCAAGTTTGGAAAATAATTGAGCGCTATCTTTTATGCTAGTAACGCGTGAGCGGCAAATTGATCCGGCTGAAAAATCGTTTCAAATTTAATTGAGGCTTGCTTTCTTCTTTGATTATTACGTTCTTATTTGCTTGAAACATCCCCTTGTACTTTAAATAGTGTGCGGTGGATGATTTTACAAAAAAAATTAAAATTTGTTCAAAAAACTTACGCATTTTATTTCGAATCTTTCACCATTTTTAAAAACAAACACTAGTCTATGGACGTTAAAAGACAATTGGAAAATCCCTTGAGTCGCTTTGATAAAAGCAAACTTGTTTGCAATTTGCAATTTAGCTGTTAAATGAAATATTTTATCTGGTTTTCTGCCTGAAAGTAAAAACTTTGATTTGAATAGTAAGATACATGAAGAAGAAAAGTCTTCGAAACTTACAATTTTTGCAGCTATTTGAGCGTCATTGCGATAGATATCAGCATGCAAAAATTGCCGGATTGGGCGTTCAATTAGCGAAGACGTACTAACTAACCCCCTGGAACATTTTTTATTTTTCATTGAAAAACTTTTTCTCGAGTAAAAACAGAGCCAAAAACTTAGATGGATAGCTATGATTTCGTTCGGATAACTAGGTGCACAACTTTAATTAAATCAGCTTGCCAGTAACGCTTTCTTAAAAGAGAACAAACA